GGATAAAAAACATGACAGTCCTATTTTGGAATTATCAAACTATTTTAGTCCTATTTCGGGAACTTTCCCTTTAAACAACTATGTCTTTTTTAATGAGAACCTTAAATCGGATGAGCCTGAGAATGTGGAGCCATAATATAGAAGTTTGGAAGAAACATGGACATCTAGAATAGAGGGACGAATGGTCACCGATTGAGAACTCCAATAAATTGTGATGGCGGAGAGTCAAACAACGTATAATGATCGAGGTGGAATCGACGAGAATCCTCAAGGTGCATGCTTGGAGACGACCTCTTTCTGAAAAGAAGCAGACATCGACTGTGACATAATCTGGACATGGCGACTATAGAGATAGAAGTTACAACAGAGATAGGTCACGAATCCATCACTTCCAAAGATGAAGATCCCGGAGTATCGATTGAAGGAGTGTAGGATTAATGGTGACGGATGTGCTCGATTCCAATTTGCATGGCGACGTGAATCATAGTTAGTTAAATACGGTACGAGAATTGAATGAGGTTTAATACGTACGCATTTTATTCGGTAACAAGAATGAAAAAGACGATCAAAAATTTGTTGAAAAGTAAAGTTTTTACAAGAATTAATTGTTATGTACGCATTTTCAAAAATGTGTTGAAAAACGCATTTATCTTCAAGAATTCATTTGAATGTCTTCCCGATTGAATTGTTAGCTGAAATTTGGTATGAGTAAACTAGATTTAATAAATAAGATGTTCAAAAAAATTCATCAAAAAATTCCAGCGAGAACCGCCCCAAATGACGACTGTAACACCCCCAAATTTCCCACCCAAAAATAATACTTTATTCAAAAGAAATATTAACTTTATTCGAAAACATCAGAGTTATGCAGCGGAAAACCAAAAGGGAAATAGGGGCGTTACTGCCACACTCGATTCTCCCTTAACCGAGTGCACAGGCTAAAACAACTTAAACTCCAAAAATAATTATTCACTAACTAAAGATATTGAAAATGGAATTACAATGATTTACTATGTTTTCTAGCGGAAGCTCTCTCGAAATCAACATCATCATCAAAGCGTCACCTGTACAAAATCAAGTACAGAAGAAAAACAAAAGAAAACAAAAATTAGCAACAATGCTAAGTAAGTTCCACCTAACCCCATAAAATAATAAATAGTAAAATTTAATGTTTTTGAAAAACATTTAGGAGGAAAAATATATATTTTTTAAACAATTTATAAAATCTTCTCATAGCATAATTCACTAGTAAAATAATAGTACCTCAAATATAAGCAAATATTTCCCAACCACAAAATTTACAAAAAAATACCAATTATACGTAAAACCGCCAAAAATCATTACAATAATTCCAAAGCATAAATCAAACACCAAATATCTCAAAATACTTATAAATGTTGATAATAAAGAGTACTCAACATAATCAAACCAAATCAAATCCAAAAGTAAAACCCACAAATAATTTAACAATTCAATCCAAATATAATCCAATCCAATAATCCAACAATTCCAATCAATCCAATACTTTAATTCACCACAAATCCAATCAAATAATATTCACCTCAAATCCAAATCAAGCCAATCAAATAATCTCAATCACCTCAATCCAATCAAAGTCCAGTTCACCTCAAACCCAATCAAAGCTAGTGGAAGCCGAACTCCTACCTTAAGTGTGCACACCCTCTAAAAGGGATTCCAAGCCCTCCGGGTAGTAAGAAGCCCGAGTAGTCGGGATTTTTCTACCAACTACACTACAATTAAGCTGGGATACTCCGCTTTTGGGAAGTACCCCTGGTGGATTTAGACTTATAGCCATTACTACTCACCAATACCACATTTATCCGGATGTGGCAAACCGACACCACGGATTTCTCCGGGTGCTCACCAAAAATCACAATTCATTCTCAAAGTTCCAAACCAATATCACAACCTCAACCAAAACGGATATGAAATCCAAAGTCCACATAATAATCCACAATGTAAAATATCAACTCCAACAAATTACACTCAAATGTATCATACATTAAAATTTCACGAAAGAGCCAAAATATAGAATACTTCATAAATAGTTCAGATCTCAAATATAACCCAAACAACATTTCATATGATAACTCAAATACTCGAAAATATCATCCAATATCCAATACTGAAATCTCAAATATAATTCTCAATAACAATCCATAAATAATTCCAAATACTCAAATATGAAGTATAAATTGTAAATGCTAGAAATCTCACCAGGTACTCAAATAAAATCAAATGAATAATCATAAATAGATTCACGAAGCAAAAGGTATAATTTCGGTTGATGTGAAACTTACCTCAACCTCCAAGTACTCCTAGTGAAATTCTTCTACATTGCTCGTCATTCAATTCACCTTCTAACAATATTAAAATTCTAGTATCAATATCGATATCAACTTACAGTTAAATTCATTTACCCTTTATTTATATACTACGTATAAGTTGCCCCTCTTATGATTCTCTTATTTCACAAATTATCAATCTATATATATAATAGTCCATATATAATTTATTAATATTATTTTATTGTTATTATAATGATTTGGACGATCCAATTCAGCCATTCATTTTGGAGCAGCAGTCTCATAATCGGCCAGCAGCAAATTATAATTAGGTGAAGGTTTTGTTATCAACTAAAGTCAATTAACTTTCCTTATTGTTATTTTCGGCCCAACAGATTAAATTACACAGCCAACAATATCATGCAGGAATGCGGCCCAGAACATAAACAAATACGGAGTAAAACGCAGAGTACGTAAAGTTACGTACATTTCGTCGTCGTCTTCATCGTCAACTCCAGGCCATTGAACGGTTCTTCTCAGACGGCGACCGTATCAGCCGGGCAGATCGTGGGTTCTCTCCTTGGAAGTAGCAGCGGCAGCGACAGACGACTTCGGCTCCTTCTAGCAGCGGGTGACGGCGGCAATCAGTAGCCCCTCGACGCCGACGAAGGTGGCAGTGATCCAGATGATTTATGGTGGATCCAGACAGTCCGACGCAAGCTCCTTTTCCGGTGATGAAGGCATGCAGCGGCGTTTGCTTTTCTCCGCCGTAGAAACAGACTGGCACACCGGCAGTGTTGCACCGGAAATTCTTCTTCTTCTAGCGACGCTGGCAGCGAACGATCCAATACCACCGTAGATTGGTAGCGACTCAGGCTGGCGAAGGTTGTTCCTTTCTCTTCTGCGGCGAGTGTGTCTTCCTACGCAGGCCTTCAATCGTAGCTCCGTATATATATATAGGCGTGATGGACTAGACTCTAGGGTTTCACGCGTAGAATGGTTTCGGCCGTTTCCATATACGGAGTAATGCGTACCAAATACGTAGTACATACCATGTGTTAGCATAGTTTGAAAAGTCATCTCTTAATATATTACTATATTAGTAATAGTAATAATTGCGGAGCAGTAATTAGTATTATTATGTATACTTATGTTGGTGCGTGTGTTTTAATGTATAAATATGAAACGGATCCACCCCATAACATCTGTTGTATAATTGGCAAGTCCCATAAAGTTTAAACAGACACTCCTAAAGATGTCACGATTTAAGTTAAAATTTTATGTGACCGAAAATGTGAGTTTGTCAATTGTTAAAATTTCATCTAATCAACGAAATTATCTATTATTTTGTTTAAATTTTCGGGGGTATCACAACGACGGCCGGGCAAAGTCTCTTATATAAGGGCTTATTTGACTTTCTTGGTTAGTTAGTGGGCTTATTTGCCCCTTTTCTCTTTAATTAAAATCACTTCTATTCCCACACACTACCTACTTTTACTATACTCACTTTTTTAATAGTTTCTTAAAAAAATCACTTTTAAAAAGTACAAACAATCACAAACACTCTTCAAAAGTTTTTTTCAAATTGATATAACAATTTTGTTAATATGTAGGGAAAACTATCAAATAAGCCCCCGTACTATGTCGAAAAAGTCGATTAGGCCCTCGTACTTTACAAACACTCAATTAAGTCCTCGAACTATTAAAAAACGTTCAATTAAGCCTTTTTTGTCGGTAAGTAATCGGTTTTCCGGTTAAACGGCGACGACGGCGACAATGTGCTCGAACCCCAGCAACGGCAGCTGCCGGGAAACGGGTTACATTTAACCGGGAAACCGGTTACTTATCGACCAAAAGGGCTTAATTGAACATTTTTTAATAGTTCGAGGACTTAATTGAGTGTTTGTAAAGTACGAGGGTCAAATTGATTTGTTTCGGTATAGTACGGGGCTTATTTGATAGTTTTACCCTATGAAGCACGGATACTTCCCTAGGGTAGCGTATCGGCGTATCGGATACGTTCCCGTATCCGATACTCTAGGATACCCGTACCATACGTTCCCGGGCCGTATCTGCAATTTTTAAAAGTTTCCATTTTTTTGTAATTTTTTGAAAGTTTCCGATACTCGTATCCTGACGGATACCCGTATCAACCATTTTAAAAAAAAAAATCCCAAAATTTACTTAATAAAATTCTAAAAAAAATGAAAATCTAAAACTACATTTTACTTGGTAATCAAATAATGGGCCTATATGACTATATCCGAATTAAGTCATTAACTCATACTCCGAAGTGAGTACTTGCACTTTTAATTTCAAGATTGTAGTTGTTTGACTTATTTCTCATTTTAAATTAATGACTCATTGACTACATTTATATTTCGAGATACACTAGTGTATATGAGAAATATTATGAATTTATTACTAAGTATCTTGAAAAAGGAAAATGCTTCAATGCAATGAATGGATAAACATCATAGGATATTATATGTATATATATATATATATATATATTCAAAAAAAAAATTAATATTTATAAATAGACCCCTATAACTTTTAATATTTGTAAATACACCCCCATAATTTTTAATATTTATAAATATGGCTCCGTATCCGTATCCTACTTTTTTTGGTTTTGATGTATCCCGTACCCGTTTCCGCCTATGGGTATCGGTGCTACATAGGTTTTACCTGATATATGTACGAAGTACTTCTAAAGTTTTCAGAATTTGGAAGCCTATCGGAGTCGGACAGTGCTTTTGCAGTTCCCTCCAAAACATCGAAGAATTTAGCTCACAAGTCACAACGCCACCGTAACGCTAGAGCCGAAATCCTAATCCTTCAATCGAACCATCGATGGCGTCATCATCTTCGTCTTATATGACAGGCCCAGACATCCCATGGGTCGAGAAGTACAGACCCACCAAGGTGGCTGACATCGTCGGCAATGAAGACGCCGTCGCCAGGCTCCAAGTCATTGCACGTGAAGGAAACATGCCCAACCTCATTTTAGCGGTAAGTAACGATTCGACATTCTGGAACCCGCGTTTACCCTACATTTATATTAGCTCTCAATGTTATTTGTGTGATTTGGCTCAGATATGAAAACACTACACTTTTAGAGAGCCCTAATTTCGCATCCTACCCGGTAGATTTCTCAATTTCACCTTGTATATTAAGTTTATCCTAATTTAGAACTCAGCTCTTCTAGTTCAATGCTAAGTTGAGAGTATACTGTACCGGTCATCAAATTTGACTCCACCTGGACATCTTCACTTTAAAGCTAACCCATTTTTTGTTTTCTTTACGGTATGCTTAAATCATGGAAAATCCAGCGATAGAGAAAATGCCGAGGAAAGTGTATCCTTATGCATGATTAGTAACATGCAAAGGAAGACGATTGTGATGGTTTAGTATTCCTTAAAATTTAAATTTGTTTAGATGGATTAGTCTTCAGACAGATATGAAATGAGTGTCAACCAAATAATGAACATAAAATTAGTGTGGTAGCATATCTTGGATTTCCTGGACCTCTTTGAAAATCAGTTTAATCGGGGGCATTCAAAAGAAACAAGCTTCAGTGTGTCAATTCACACCTATTCAGTCAAAGAGGAAAGAATTTGCTCACAATTCAATTTGGCTGATTCTTTTTGGATTACTATTTTTAATTCTCATTGAGCATTTGAAGAATTAAAGATGCTGTACAGGGCCCCCCTGGTACTGGTAAGACTACAAGTATACTTGCCCTTGCTCATGAACTTCTTGGTCCAAATTTCAAGGAAGCAGTTTTGGAGCTAAATGCATCAGATGATCGGTAGGATATACTTATCTGAAGATGCTGCTTGTTTTTTGATAGACGCTAAAATGGTAATAATTTTATGTCAATCGTACAGGGGGATTGATGTTGTTAGAAATAAGATTAAGATGTTCGCTCAGAAAAAAGTGACTCTTCCTCCCGGTCGCCATAAGATTATAATTTTGGATGAAGCTGACAGGTTTGTGACTTTCAATTCTGGGTGCTTGAAAGCTTAGATCAGTTATATGCTCATGTACCCGTTTGGCAGGTGCTAGTGAACACTAGTTATTTCATGGCGATAATTGAAATGGCTGTGAATGAAAATAATTAGTGCAAAAGTTGCATATTTGGAGGAAAAGGATGGAGTTAATGTAAACGACGCTTCAACCCTTCATTTTTTTCATTTTTATTTTTTAAAGTTATTAAAAGATAATCAATCTGTCCCTCAAATTACCTCATTTTTAATTTTTTTGCACAAAGTTCGTTGATATTTTTTTAGAAATGAAAGAATTAATATCAGCCACATATATTCTTTCCTTGAAAGGAAATGAGTAGACTATTTAGGGACACCCAAAAGATAGGATGTTAAATTAAAAGGGGGCTGAGGTAGTAGTATTTTTAAATAAATAATTTATATACTTCAGTAGATTCAAATCATTCAACCACAATATCATGGTTTTCCGAAATGTTCTTCTGCATTACATCAATGGTTCTCATTGTGCAATTGGACACATTGATTTTCTTGTCTATAAACAGACCAGTTTTTCATTTCCTCTGTGTGTATTAGCTGGTAGTCATTTTCTTGTTTAACTGGAGCTATAATTTAGTGTTGTTGATGTCACATTTTCAATACCTATCAGCATGACAACTGGAGCTCAACAAGCCTTAAGGAGGACAATGGAAATATATTCTAACTCTACCCGCTTTGGCCTTGCCTGCAATACTTCTTCTAAAGTCATTGAGCCTATACAGAGTAGGTGTGCCTTAGTCCGGTTTGGTAGATTATCAGATCAAGAGATCCTTGGACGCCTTATGGTAGTAGTTAGTGCAGAGAAGGTATTATCTTTGTTTCGGAAAGACGTATTTTATTAAAATGGGCAGGAATCAGGTAAAAATATGTTGCTCGATGTTTTCAAGAATTTTTTTTTTAGGTTCCTTATGATCCTGAAGGTCTTGAGGCAATCATATTTACTGCCGATGGAGATATGAGACAGGCTTTGAATAACCTACAAGCAACATTTAGTGGATTTGGGTTCATCAACCAATCAAATGTTTTCAAGGTTTGTCTTAGACACATTAACTGATCTACGACAGAACCTTGGATTCCATGTATGCTTGAATTTCTTGATATTTAGCTTTTGAGATTCACCCATTCTCTTACATTTTATTTGTATTGCTAAAGTACTTGCAAATATCCCTAATATTGCAATTAGAATGTTTGCTTGGACTCATTTGTTTCCCCTACTTCGCTAGTAGTTTGTAATCTTAAAAACATTTACAGATTTACAGTTTCAAAATATGTATTCTCATCCCTAATTAAGTATAAGAACATAAGAATCCATTTGACAAGGCTAAATGTTGGCTGAAATTACTAATGTTTTGGCTGAAGTGATTGGAGTTGATGAGCTTGCTGAATTATTTTAAAACAGATTCAAATATATTTTATTAATGGAAGAATGAAAATAATACATAAAAATATAGGTAAACTTTTCATTTCTATTAATTCAGTCGGCCAAAAGATGCCATTTGCATTATTTTCATATTCAACCAATTCAGCCTTGCACATTCAACTTAGCGTTTGGAAAAACTCTGCCTATATCGACATATAGGCAGAAACATCAAGACTCCAAACGATAACTATAAGTCTATATATCCATCACTATTGTTATTGTTCATACAATTTTCAACTTTCAATTTTGTTGGATTACATAATATTTTTCTTGATTTATTATGTCATTGCTTCATCCTCAATGGCAAGTGGTGGCTCTCTAATACTCACCAGACTGCAATTTCATTATTTTTTAACAATCACTGTTCTGTAAGAGCCCAGGTGTGTGACCAACCTCATCCCCTTCACGTGAAGAATATGGTGCGCAATGTACTAGAAGGGAGATTTGATGAAGCTTGTGCGGGCATGAAGGCACTATACGACATGGGTTATTCTCCTACTGATGTTATCACAACCCTTTTTCGTATCACAAAGAACTATGATATGGCTGAATACCTAAAATTGGAGTTTTTGAAGGTTTGCACTATGTTATACTTCAATAATTTTCCATTTTCCCACACTTCTGGTGTTTTGGCAATAGGGTTATTCCCATTTTTTGTCCATTATTTACACTTTGGGGGATGATAATGGATGATTTGGCACTTTAAGTCCTTTTGACCTCTCAGGTGGCGTTGTCGTCATTTATTTTTTGAACTTATTAGTAACTTTTTTTAAAAAAAAGATCAGACTGGAGCAGATACCTCAGAAAGACTGAGACAAAACTAGACCAGTCCATAAAGACTTAGACCAGAAGTTACAAGAAATCCATAGTTGTGCATAAAAAATGGAAAAGTAAAATAAGGGATCAGAAGTGAAAAATTTGGACAGTCAGGGGCCATGAGTGAGAACTACCTATTAGTTGTGGGACCAAAAGTTGAAAGTTTTCATTGTTTTCCTCCATCGTAGTATTTTCTTCTTGGCATGATTCATTTCTGTTTTCTAATGGGTGGAATAGGAAATTGGCTTTGCACACATGAGGATCTGTGAAGGAGTGGGTTCATATCTTCAGCTGTGTGGGTTGTTAGCTAAACTTGCTCTGGCTCGGGAGACCGCAAAGGCAGCATGAGAAAGAGAGTCGGCTTATTATTTTTTCGTAGTAGCAACTAGAAGCTTACATTGGTGCAACAGTAATGCATGCTATCTTGTTCTAAGTTGTCTCTCTTGGCATGGAGAACTTGTGTTCCCATTTTGGTTATCATCTTTGTATCGGAATTAGAAAAATGTGGTACAACTTCTCTAGTTCCCTTATCAACATGAGGCATCCTGTGATAAAAATTTCTGAAGAATGCAGCCATGAGTTTCTATATTAACTTTGTGCTCTGTATATTAACATTGAATTTCAGTTTTTTCTAAACTCAAAAAGTATAAATTGTGTTTATTAGGTATTTAGGGAGTGTTTGCAATCACTTAAAAAAAGCAATTCTCAGCTTTTGGCTTAAAAAAGCACTTATTTACCAAACATTACCAATTTTTACTTTTTCTCGGCTTGCGTATGAAAAGTGCTTTTCCCCTTTCTATTACACAAAAAGCACTTATTTTACCAAGGGGGTGTTTGGAACTGATTCTGCTTCTGCTTCTTTTTTTAAAAGCAGAAGCAGAATCTGAATCAGTTTTCAGAAGCTGGTCTCCCCCAGCTTCTAAAAAACTGATTCTAGGAGTAAATTATAGCACCAGAATCACTTTTGCACTTTCACCCAAACATTCCAACTTCTGCTTCTGCTCTCTGAAGGAGCAGAAGCAGTTTCAAGAATCAGATCCAAACACCCCAAACACTATCAACTTTTACTTTTCAAAATCACTTTTTTCTCAAACTCTATCAACTTTTCCTACTAATCACTTTTTCCTTACATCTCCAAAAGTGCTTTTTTTAAGCAGAAGCAGTTGCAAACATTCCCTTAGTCAAGGCATGTAAGATAACCTTGGGACCCAGCCACCCTCTGTGTCAGTGTGATCTATTGGATACTACACTTATGAATCCTTAAATCAACATCAAATGATCTATATTGAGATTTTAAAAGAAAATGTGAAATTAGAGGAATATGATATCAACCTAAAAATAAATAAATGCGTTAATGTTAATGTAAAAGAAAACAATTGAAATTTAGGCATAAATGTGCATTTCTCTAGAACTAGAGATCTTTGGGAGTTTGGATAGTTGCAAAATTACTTGAGCGGATTATTGTCAGACTTATCTATATAATATAATAAAGCAAACCCTTGAGGAACTCTTTAGAGGAATTATTGACATGTGGCAATAGTCTTTGTATGAAAAAGTGACATGTGGCAAGACAATAAATTCAAGAAAAAACTATTCAACTTCCAAAACTCTACTTTTATGTACTCCAATATTATATACATATGTATTTAAATCATTGGTATACTGAAATTTTATAACTATTATATTGTACTACCTCCGTCCCACTAAGATTGGGACATGAGGTGATGACACGATTATTAAGAAAAATGAGTTTATGTGGTTGACGTTGAATTGCTGATATAAAAATTAAGAAAGAATGATTTAATACCACACAAACTTTAGCTAATTTTGTACTTCGTATGAGAAAGTGTTAGAGGGACGGATCGAAAGGAAAAGATAAGAGAATCTCAGCGGGACGGAAGGAGTATCTATAAAAAAACACTCAGTGTAGAAATCACGCAATTTACATCTTTTGAGTAAACATTTGAATAATTATTATAATATAGAAATAATAGTTCAACAAGGGTTGTAAAATAACAAGTATATTTCAAAATAATTTTGGTGGTAAACCATCAATATTGAAGACAAAAAAAGTAAAAAAAATAGATGTTTATAATTTGTGTTACTCTATTACATGATTACGTACCTTATTTAGATGAATTTAGTATGGCCGAATGATTGTCTAGCCATTCCATATTATTCCCCTACCATATTAGTCACCTTTCCATATTGTATCCATTCCTATTGCATCTCATACGTGTCTTGCATGTATATATACATATGGTCATCCCATCATTATGGATACATCGAATACTATTCAGATCCTTTATACTTTGTTAGTGCGTTTGCTATACTGCCACTACGTTTATTATTATGGTATCAGAGCGCCGATCTTGGCCCTTCCTGTTGAGCAAAACAATTACTTAAATTTTGGTCAATACAGTTGACTGATGGCTACCGGCGATGAAAATAATGCCGCAAATAGCCAAACATTGGTTATTGACAACATGTCACCGTATTATATTCAGTCCGGTGATAAATCCGGAGATGTATTTGTTACCTCCAGAGTTGGAAATTTCCAGAAAGGGGGAGCATCAGAAACAAAAAACATCTCTACTGATGATCATTCAGAAAAACGGGTGAACATGGCCGATAAAGGGTCATTCCTATCTCATGGGACATGGATTATCGATTCAGGAGCCACAGAGCATATCACGTGTGACGACGCATTATTGCATGATGTCATCAGAAATCCTTCTGAATCTCCTGTCCGCATACCGAATGGTGATACGATACTTGTTCACTCCATTGGCCGTGCTAGGCTACCAAATGGATTGACAGTATCACGTGTTTTATTCATCCCGTCATTCCAGTGCAATTTATTATCTGTCACTGGCCTCACCAATGAGCATAATTGTACTCTTATCTTTTTTGGGGATTTTTGTGTATTGCAGGACATACCCTCGAGGAAGCCGATTGGGGTGGGTAGACTTCGCAACGGTCTGTATTATTTGGAGCCTTCAAATAGTGAGCAAGTGGCAATGGTGGTACCTCCGCGTGCAGAGATCTGGCATCAACGCTTGGGACATGCCTCCGATGATAAGCTTCAGCACATTGGTTTTTTGAAAGGCTTCAAGCAGACTGTCCCCTTCTGTGATTCTTGTATTCGAGCTAAGCAAACTCGCCTACCTTTTCCTAGTAGCATAATTAAGACGCATAAGAGCTTTGAGTTAATTCATTGTGACATCTGGGGAGGATATAAATGTAATTCTCTTACTGGAGCACGATATTTCTTATCCATTGTTGATGATTACACTCGAGCTGTTTGGGTTTATCTTATGGCTAATAAGTCCGAAGTGGCACACTTTTTAAGGCATTTTTGCAATATGGTTCAAAATCAATTTGGACAACCGGTAAAATGTATTCGTGCTGATAATGGAGTTGAGTTTCAGTCTCACATTTTACTTGATTATTATAGTACCAATGGTATTCTTTTGCAAACATCTTGCACAGACACCCCACAACAAAATGGTGTTGTGGAGCGCAAACATCCACTACTAGAAAAAGGACTTTTAACTACGAAAAATATTGTCGTTATAGGCCCAAAAGTTGGTCGTTAAAGCTTTTAACGACCACAATTTTTTCGTCGTCAAGTGGTTGTTATAGCCTCCGTCGTTATTGGTTTTAACGACAAAGTTCGTCGTTAATAATTAACGACGACACAAGATCTCGTCGTTACTTATTAACGACAAGAAACTTACTCGTCGTTACGTAATAACGACAACATAATTCTTCATTGTTACTTAAAAACGACAAGACATTTAACCGTCGTTATTATGTAATATGTATACAATTGTTAACATCATTTCTTATCCAATAACGATAACGTTTTTATAACAACAATCACAACCCAAAGAAATACATTTAGTTAAAAAATTATAAAATATTGATGAATACTGTTTTATTATAATTCCATGAAATTAATAAAGTACTTGTTCATTTTAGCCACAGATATACCAAACTTCTAATGTTCCAATCATTGTGAACAATCGACAAATATCTTTTACATACAACAATTATTGTAAGTTGACATAAAGTTATAATAATCTACACAATAAAATTACATTGTATCCTTAACTATATGAGAAATTGAATACAAAATCACAAATGTAGTAACTAGACAGCACTGCTGCAACTTGTCAACGACCGTCGACACTGCTGCAACTTCTCATCTTTGAAAACCTACAAAAAACGAACATAGAATTCAGATTTCCTAGTAAAATGATACTTCGTACTACATAAAGGCTTATTAGAGTAACAAACCAAAATACTTCTTAAACAAAATTATACTCCGTATGTAGTATTTCCCAATAGCAGTATGCATCACTCAGGCTAAGGTATTATTAAAGTGCCCATTTACTAGATAGGAACTAAGAATTGCAAGAAACTAAATTTACCATTTTATAATAAAATCCAATCATAAACAATGCTGACTGGGCTCACGTTAAAAGGACCTGACCTGGCAGCAATGGATTCGATATAATCTGACACCTATTCAATTCAACCTAAAGTCATAATTGATGTCATTGTATGAGTTTCCATGCTACAATTTTGCATCAGAATTGATGAGGGTGTATTTGCTTTCAATCTTGTTCCTTCACAGCTAGAAGCTTTGACATTGCTATGACTTCTTTGTGTAGCATTAGGCGAAATCCACGTATTTTCTGTAATATTCACAAGGAGGCTGGTAAATATAATTAGCTACAGAAGCCATCTGCAATTAGAACGAAACTGAATCACCATTTAAAGTTTTAATCATAAGAATGCACAATATATTTTATGTAATGTGTGATATATTTAAATACATAAGTTAATCCCTAAGGAGTAAAATGCATGAAATTTTAAGCCCAAAAAATCTTGGAGAATAGCAGTAATTGATATCTGGAAAACAAAGGGAATTGAAGTATTGACAATGTGTAGTAGGTTCCTAGAGATATTGAAGGCATAATTCAAGCTAGGGAATTGAGATATTGACAATGCAATTCAATATTTTTCCAACCAGTAGAAAAAATATTGAAGGCATAATTCAAGCTGCTTATTTGAGTTAACCTAAATAACACATAGACATGGTACCTGGCCAAACTGTTCCAAACACAAAGAACTGGCCATGGACGATAGACTAAAATCAAACGACATTTTTATCATTTTATTGTAACGGCTTCAATGAACTGCTTTTAGCAAGTGGCAAATAATCTATTAAGAAATCTGTCTCCAAAGCTTTGCAGATTCCAGCAACACATCAAGGAAATAGTGCAGCGAGAATCAACTCCATAAGAAGGTTCAATTAGGCAACTACTCTTTCTCAACAGATAAATTAAATATGCAATAGTAGGTTACTAAGCTTGTCCAAAACATGACAAATATATCAAAAGTTAAACTATTAGTAAAGGATGTAGTGATAGATTAAATGTCCCATATCAATTTTCAGTACATAAATATTTCTTTAATTTTGTTGAATGATTGAAAAACTCAGAAGGGCTTAATTAAGACACTGATTTGCTATATGTATATATAACTTTCCATTATCATGGGTGTCTTACCATATGACATCCAAAGAATAGAATCTGATGTCCATCTTTGCTTTTCACTAAGACATGTGACTCCCATACCTAGTGAGACTACCAT